TTGTACCAACCAATTCTCTTGTTTTGTTTACCAAAAAAAAAAAAAATTGTACAGCCTTACTCTTTTTTCTACGGTTTCCGAAAACAACGATGTAGGAAATATGGCTCTCAGAGCCAACTTTTATTTTTGGACTGTAACTTTAAAAATTAATATAAATTTGATTGGTTGTTTTTAAAATTGTAGAAAAGAATTAAGGTTGTAAGTGATTTGTATAATCCAACCAATCACTCCATTTGTTCTGTGCTAATGTAGTTAGGGCGTCGGCCCATAGCACAAACAAGTGAGACCATTGACTAAGGTCTTTAAATTTTTGGGGTCATTTTTAAGTTAACATTTTATTAGACAAGTTATTTATGCTCATAGCAAACAGAATTTGAAGAGCTTTTTTAAAGATAGCAATATTTGTAGTATTTTCTTATAATATTGCTTACCGTAATCATTGACAGTCCAAAGTTTTTGAATGCTACTATCTGTCAGTCTATTAGTAATGTTGAGAACATCTCATAAAATTTTGAAAATAGTTTTCAATTCGAATTGTCCAAAAAAAAAAAAAGTTTTCAATTCGAGAAAGTTACCTTCACACATTTACCGTAAATTCATATAGCATTCAAAATTTTTGGATCGGCAGTGAATATAGGTAACTGAATTATATATACAGCATTCATTATTAGAAAAATGACACTCGTAATAATCAAAACCTTAACCGCAAGATGTCAATTATAACAGGAATCAATTTTTTCATAATTATTATATTAGTGATAGCATTTAACTAAGTGAGCAAAAATGCTAGTGGCATTTAAAAGATTTTAGGTGTTAATTTGGTAGAAGATGTAACAGATTATTAGTTGCGTGTCCTACGTGTAATTGTGAAAGCAACAAGGCAGAGATAATGAACTAATGGTTTAATTGTCCAGATTAGAAAAGAAAAGTTAAGAACGCACATGTATAATTAACTGATTAACTCAATTTGTTTTAATTCAAAAAAAATTATTATAATGTTTCTGACATTTTTTATGCAGCTCAACTTTGGGATCTGTAGATATTCTCAAGATTTCGGAGTTGGAAGTTGATACCCATAGCATAATTCTTTACCATACAAAATGAATTTACCAAGAAAATCATGGCATTGTATGAAAAAGGTGTTGGAGAAATAAACAAAAATCTGGATAAATTATATAAATGTCAAAATTCAACGTGTGTTATAGAATTTGGAGTTGTCATGTAAAATTAAGAGAAATTTCAAAAAAAATGTCACTTTAAAAAAATTATTTTTGTTTTTATATTATTTATGTTTGGGTTAATTATGTTCTATTAGGGTTTAGTTTTGAGTGTTTATGGGGTTTTAGGTGTCAAAACATTTTTAGGGTTTAGAATTTTAAGATATAGACTTTATAAATTTATAATTAGTGGCATTTAGGTTTGGGAAGTCGGTTTATCTGTTTTGTCGTTTTGCAAGCAAAAGCGTGAGTGAGACGGGAGTAGAGACTGAGAGTTCACCGGAATAGAGAGAAAAATCTTTGGGGAGAAATTTGAACGATGAGAGGAGGATAGGTGTGAGTTATGAGGTTTGATTTCTCTGTGTTTGTCGGAATCTCACCAAGCCCTTCGATCGTAGAGAAAAAAAGACAAGATAAGCTTGCGAAGAAATTGCAGGTTTGTTGGAATCTCACCAAGCCCTTTTTATTATAGATAAATCACGGGAGCTCTCGAAGAAGAATGTCTTCTTCTTTTACCGAACAAAAAAAGATTGTCTTCTTCATCTAAGAAAATAGAAAAGTCTCGGTTTTCCTTTTTGGTATTAGGAAAATTTATTAGGTTTTCCTTATTTAATAAATAAGATTTTTAAAAGCAGTTAATTGTAAAACCGTCCAAGTCTTCTACGAAACAAGGGCGAAGGAGATTGTTTTAGCTGCTCTTCATGGATTCGACTCAATTTTGAAGCTCTTTAATTAAGGCCCTTTTATTTCATACTGCTAATCGTATCTGGTTTGTTTGAAGGAACTGTGATTGCTTATGGGCAAACTAACAGTGGTAAGACACATACGATGCGAGGCTCACCTAGTGAACCTGGAATTATCCCTCTTGCTGTACAGGATTTGTTTGACACTGAGGTTCATCACAAACCTTGTCTGTCTCTAAAATGGTTTTCCTAAGATTTGTGGAAGGTTATTGGTTCTGAGGAACAACCGTTTTTTTTGTTTTTAAGGATGCAAGCAGGGCGTTTGAGTTGCGTATGCCGTACATGGAGATCTACAATGATACTATCATTGATTTGTTGGCTCCCGAAAACCAAAACCAAAATCATTTGTTACTGGATTACAAGAAAAAATTGTAGAATCCCCTGAACAAGTCCTTGAAATGATGCAAGTTGGAGAATGTACTTTCTCTTCTCTTTACCTCATTTTAGTTTTCTGTCTCAGTCTTGGTTTTGCTTATCTCCATTTGTCTTTTATAATAAATTTGCAGCTCATCTTCATATTGGGAAGACAGATATGGATCTTCCCACTAGTTAATCTCACACTATTTTCCGCATGGTATAACACACTTTATATCATCCACCTCAGTAGATGAGCTCAATATTAGATGTAGGTTGAATGAAATTTTAACTTGCTAGTTTTTTCTATCAAACAGATTATAGAAAGGAGATGGTGGAAATGCCTCTGACGCAGTCCGTGTTTCTGTTCTGGTATCATCCATCATCTGTTGGAACCACTAGTCTTTTTTGTTCCCACTATAAGGCAACATGTTATCTTCTTGTTATATACATGTTTCTTTTCACTTGTAGAATTTGGTGGATCTTGTGGGTTCAGAACATGCTGCAGAAACCAGAGAAGAGGAGTGCTCACATATAATAGACAAAAGCTTGATGACACTCGGGACTGTAATGAAAAAATTGAGTGAAGGAGTTGACAGGTAAGTGTTTTTTGGGTCTAGTTTTGTTAGGGAAAGAAGCAGTATGGTATACCTAAGCATTGTGTTGAATCAGGGATCATGTTCCGTACCGAGACAGCAAGCTTACAAGGATATGTATCACTTGCAGAGGTATGTATAAATCTACATGTTAGTCCTGTCCTAATCTATCAATTTGCTCTCTATCTTCTTTTGTACAACTGACATTGTCCTATTTCGTTTTGATGTTAGATTCATGCAGATGAAACCAGGAGCAGTCTTCGATTTGCTAGCCGAGCACTGCGTGTCACTAAACATGCACACATCAATGAGGTAGGATCCAAATCATCTTGCGCTTAACCTCTTTATATTTGTAAAATAGTTTCCGATTAAGTTTGGTATATTAGATGTGCTTGCTTTTTAGTTTTTTTTTTAAAAAGCAACCACCCATTGTTGTGTGGTTGTTATCCGTCACGCATTGTCTTGCAACTACCCATTGTTGTGCTTATGATATGTCTTTTTTTTTTCCGCAGACTGGTTTAGAGACAGGCCAAAAT